TGAAATGGGGGGTGTTTAAGTATAGATTAAAACCAAGTTTTTACAGTTTTCGTATATAAATAAATTTAGGGTTCGGGACTTGACTTGTTGCACCAAATATTATCGAAATATGATGCAGTCAAAGTTGTCAAAATATTCTTAAATATATACAGCTCTATTTTTATATTATTTTTTGAAAAATTCATAAAACATACTTCAATTTTGGTAATAAAAAACTAAAAAATAAGTAGGTATATAAATAATTTATACACCGGCTTACTAATTTTAATATAGGTAGATATACTATATTGATTAATGTGATGGACGGAGTACACTATTGCATGTTTTGGACATTTTTAAACTATTGTGAAATAAAATAACTTGATTTTTAAAAATACTGGAATAAAATACTAGGTTAAATGTTAATAAATATGTAATAAAGAATAACGTGATATGCGAACACCGTAATAAACGAACACGTATATCTACTGATTTTCATTTCCTCGTACAATCTAGAATGTAGATGTCAATTATAGTTTTAACACAGTCTTGTCACAAAGAGACTTATAAAATCTTACATGCCATAACTATGCGAAAATAGGGCAAACGCAAACCGTATAGCCAAGCTCCACCAACAACTTTAACAGCCCTCTCAATCATTTAGGTACTAAATTTTTTTAATTCAATTTTATAATAGACAAAAGTATGGTTTTAGGCTTTGGCCTCCCCAAATCTCAAAATTAGAGCCTATTGTACCTCACCAAACATAATATTTTTAAAGATATTTTTCAATGTTATCCAAATATGATTTTTCCCGACAATTGTATGTACCTACATTTAAGTTAGAAAAATGCAAAATATGCATAAATATGCGAAAAATCGCTCAAATGTACACTTTTTCTAAAATATGCAAATTCAAACTTTGTTTGTTTAGACATTAAAAAAATTTCATAAGACAAATTTATAACTTATCTAAAATAATGCGAGGAGTCCTAAACCCTATAAACAATATTTTTATGAGGGAGGAAAATGTCAATGGGGGGTGTTAAAACACCCAAACCCCCCCCCTGGCTACGCCACTGCTTTTCCCTATGGGCCTATCCACCCCTGCCCACTTGTAACCTACTGTACAGCAGAGCGACACCCACTTGTCCACCTTTTTGTATTCTATGTAATAATAATATATAATTATATCATATAATTACGAATTATCTACAGTTATATGTGAATAATATGTGATGACATTATTGACATTTATTTTTCAAAAACAGTGATTTTTTTCCTTGTTAAATATTATCGTAATCGAATGCGATCGTTTTTCACTCACTTTTAAATTTAAAATAATTTTGCGATTGCGTGCCGCTATATAACGAGGGGTTTGATATCATGTATTCTGTAATTTAATAATTTTTTTCACCTACATTTTTATTATATATTAAATATTTATGTAACAGCTGGTAATATTTAGGTTTTTGTATAGTGTAGGGTATATATGTAGTGCTAAATAGGTACGAATAATGTATCATTATAATATTATTATATATGTTTTATACTATTAGCTGCTACCAATACCATACCTACTACATTATTAGGTACCTATAATCATATTTTCATAATATAGGTAAGTTCCTACGGGTACCTACCTATTATAATTGTAAGTTATTCATGTATTTGATTCTAAGTGAAACGATGAATGTATTGATTTTACAATGATGTGTGTTTTTTTTTATTTTATTTTTATTTTTAATTTTTTTTTTGTGTCTGTCATCACGCGTTTTAGGACAGTAAAAGTGCTTGGATTTTTTGCAACGGTAGCTTTTTTGATAGGAAAGTGAATCTAGTTGGTACTTTGGGGGGTCAAAAGTAAAAATTTCACAAGCGCCGTTAAAAACAACTTAAAAATTAAGGAAAAACGGGAATTTTTACGCAAAATCGGTTTTCCAAAAAATCGATTTTGGTTTTTGGTGTAACTCTAAAACAAATGAACGTATATACATGAAATTTTCACTGGTTGTTTATATTTGAAATTTTCTATACCCGATAACATTTTCAAAATATTTTGATTTATTTTGAACTGTTTAGGGACATTTTCATTTTCCATTTTTTTTTAGTTTTTTTTCTAGAAATATCAATAAAATTTTATTTGTTGGTTAAAAATTGAAAATAGCTTGAAAATTTAATAGAAGGCTCCTAGTATATCTTTTTAAAGGCAGATGAAAAATATTAAAATTTCTTAGTCACAGTTTTTTTTTATAAGCATTTAAAGTTCAAAAATTGACAAAATACGTAAAAATCACGAAAATTAGCAAATTATTTTGAGTTAAGAATTCGTAAAAACTTTTCTTTTTAATTCTAAGATTTGAAAATGTAATACAAGATTCCTTATAAGAATATCTACCTTTATCAAAAAAGAAGATGTCTATAAGAAAGTCAAATTAAATTTTTATGAGCGTTTGAAATTCAAATTTCTACAACATTGGATATTCACTCGCTTTCTCATGCAGTGATTTCCTTATTTTGTTGTAATTCAAAAACGAACAACTGTAGTTAAATGAAAATTTCACTGAATGTTTAAATTAGCATTTTCTATACACCATAAAATTTTGAAAATATTTCGACTCTTTTTGAACTGTTTGCGGACATTTTCAGTTTTCAATTTTTTTAGTTTTTTTTTCTATAAATATCAATTAAGTTTTATCTGCCAAAAAGTGTAAAAATTTAATACAAGACTCCTGATATATTTTTACAATATCAGTTCAAAAACATTGAAAATACATGGGCACAATTTTTTTTTATAAGCATTTAAAGATCGAATTTTGACAAAATCTCGAAAATTATCAATCATTGTAATTAATAAATTATAAAATGTTCAGCTTTTATAGGTAAGGATTACAAATTTAAAATAAAGATTCTCATAAATAGGTCATACGACTGTAACCAAAAAATCTAAAAAATATATTAACACAGTTATTTTTTACAGACATTTTAAATTCAAATTTAGACGAAATAACATATTAAAAAACCTAGAATAACTATTTTAGTTATTTTGTTGTGATTGAATAATATTTTTCGTGGGTACTTGAAACTTGTAAAGTGTACTATTATATATCTATGATAGTATCACGGTTTTTGTTAATGTATAACGCGTTATAAGTAAATAATGGATATTGTGATATGATTAATTTGGAATTTATTATAGATACCTATTATAGGTCAATTTTATGTTTAATATCATAGATATGTATATAATATGTCTTATACCTAGACTGACATACCGTCTCCGCTCAGAATCGTTTTTCTTATACAATGATATTATATCATTGAATTCAAATTTAATATCATCCATTATACAGTGACCCACTTGTAACCTACTGTACAGCAGAGCAACACCTACTTGCCCACCTTTTTTTCTATCCAAATTGCTTAACATAAAAGTATAAAATACAGTTCGTTGCATCAATAAATCATAAATGTTGGTAAACATAAACAAAACACTTTTAATAACTTTTTTTTGATAATTATTTGGCGTTTAATAAAAAAATAACTTTAGGCATCGTAACAATTAGAAATTAGTACCTACATATTATTAAAAAACATATTATATACATAGGAAAAGTACAGAATACATAAGATTAAAATATGTTTTTTCTTGAAGTGAGGACAGTGAGGTATATAATATACTGGATAGATACCTACTACATGAATTAAATTTAAATAATAATACATTATTAATAATTGCGTAATACTAAATTATTATACTTACTTTATCTGATCCCGATTCCTAAATACAATATGTATCAAATCAAAATATAGGCATTATTGTATTGGTGAATACCATAAAAATATTTTAGCTTAGTAGATAATACTGCTCATCGGTGGCGTATATAGTATGGCTACATGGACACCATTGGAGGGAGGGGAGCATAGTGATAAGTACTCCAGGTTCAATTTACAATAAAACATTTTATGTTTATACTATATTTCACATAACTATATCCCGTGGTCTGTTAAATATTTTGATAAGAGTTTATGTTTTATGATACCTTATTATTGGCTATGGCTATGAATTATTTAATTATGAAAATTGGAATCTCATTTTTATGCTCGCTTATAAGTTATAACCATAAATGCTTATGAGTTACGAGTGATGTATACATATAATACGTCGATGGTGCATATAGTTTTTAGAAAAGGATTCTTGTTCACTGTATTTACTCTGTTTTTGCAATAAAAACAATAAGGAAATGTTAAATTATTGTCAAATGAAATAAATAAAAACAGAAAAATAAATTGTACACAATAATATTTATAGTATAATAATAATATAATTTATTAATATAAATACCTATAAAATAAAATTACTCAATTCTTATTTGTATTTTTTGTCATATAGGTACATAGTTAGGTACAACACGTACTCTTAAAAAATTCAGACTTAGTTGTTTTCTAGACTTCTAGTGGTAAATTGACCCATATAGTGATAACAAAATATAAATGATTCCTATATCACAGATACACATTATAACAGAGTATAATATTATGTAATTGCTTGCCCACCGATGAAACAATGAACTCAGACTTGGCGTGGAAATATACGCGTCGCCGAATGAGCTGATTATAATATATACATTATATACCATACACTCACTTTATCCTTGGTAGGTACCTAGGCATAATATTATATATTAATATATAATTCATAATCTCACTATAGTATCTCGCAGTTTTCTATAAATTCGTGAACCTCTATCTGTTTACCATCACGATATGCTGCATTCCTATTTACGACAGTCGTATACTTGACACCTTGTTATTGAAATGTTATTCTATATTATTACGAATGTAAAACCGTATAATCTATTTGATGTGGCGGTAACGTGCCGCGATAACGTTTGTGTTATCGACGTTTAGCCGTGGTATATAGGTACCTATATAAACCCAAATAGGTGCAATCGAGCAGATCAGTGCGTAGCTGAACTCCGTTGTACTTATACTTAATACCTATATTGTACCTACGAATGATGGCAGGTTGGACATATTTTTTAGCAATACTGGTGTCGTTGCAGGTCGTGCAGGTATATCATCATAAAACTATAATAATTCAGTCTTACAATTATTATTCATCTTTAACCTTAGGTAATGCGTGTGGGTATTTTTTATTTGTAATAAAAACATAATATAAAAATTAAAATTAAAATTCGTATAAAAAATCCAACAAGTGATTTACTATTGTAAGTTATTGAGTAAAAAAAAAATTGTTTTATAATAATTTATAATATATATTATGTTTAATTTATGTATGACAAACAATTGGTAATTAATACAATTGTATCAAATATATTACTACCTATTTAAACGGAATAAATTACCCCCCACTCGCTCAACTATATTTGCTTTGATACCATGTGCTTCACTAAAGGGTAATAATAATAATAATAATATATTTTAGTGAAACGCAACAATAATAATTTTGATTAATATAATATTATGATCGTGTTATAATATCGTCCGTGTTCATAATATGATGTTTTATAGGATGGCGTCCAGTCGTGTACACTGCGAAGTCACAAGGTTCCGGGCCCGCAGTCGTCGTGTTCCAATCCTGGTGCCGCCGCTCCGACTCCAGCGATTCCGCACCGCACACCGGCCTCGTGTGCACCACCCACACTCGGACTGCAATACCCCGACGTGTTAAATAAAATTCCAAGTATTTCACCCGTTTCGTTTACGTCTTCGCTGTCAAATCCAGTTCCTGCTGACACTGCACTTCCGCCGGTCCCGGTACCTCGTTATTCAGCGCCCGTTTCGACGAGCATTTCCGGTAACGACCGAATTCTTATTGATCTCTTGCTCGAATATTTCGCTACTCAGGAACCGCCGAACCGGTTACCGTTACCGCAGTTGAGCTCGTCGTCTCGTGGTTTCACGCCTGCAAGTCTGCCTGCACTATTAACGCCCACTCCTTATCCTGCAACGCCTAACCTGCAGATTGGTCCGGCCGAACTACAGCAGTTCCTTTCACTTTTGTCGTCTGTTTCAGGACCCGGCTCCGATTTGTTAAATCCTGCAGTCCCCTCAGATCGTTTACTCCCGTCTTTGTCACCCGCTCCGCCGGCACATGTCACTACTCCAACCCCCGCCATCGCCACCGTACCTGAAAGCTCTATGTCGGCAACAGAAGCGGTGGCAACAGAAGCGGCAGCAACAGAAGCAGCGGCAACAGAAGCAACCGCGCCCGTCGACGAGCCGAAATCGGCGCCTGTACCGGAAACTGCACCGACCGCGGCTCCAAACTCATTTCCGGCGCCGGACCCCGCGGATAGCGTACCCGCTGCCGTCCAGACATCGGATCCCGGGTCGGCCAACGTTCCTGTTTCGGCTCCTACAAACGCATCCGACTCTACTTTCCTCACACCGGAAGCTTCCGGTTCTGAGTTAGGAGCGATCTCGTCGACGGTATCGAACACCGTACCGGCTGCAGATTCCACCTCCGCATCAAATTCCGACGCGGTGTCGTCAGCGTCACCTCCGTCCGACGTAACAACACCAAGCACAGTATAAACGGCTTCAGTCGACGACAGTTACCGTGTTTTCCGTTTATGACCCATACAAAGCTATGGTACTGTTTCGATTCTCGTATGTATCTATATATATTATATACACACTTTATATATTATTATAGTTTAGTGCAAATATTATGTATAGTTGTCTTACTAAACAATAATTATCAAACAAAATATTACATAGAGGTATTCAATAAATTAATGATTTTTGCATTATACATAATATTATAATATTGTATGGTCATAGTGAAAAGCATATTATTACCTTCCAATATATATTTTTTTTTTAAATATTAAGTCGCATAGAAGTTATATAGTTTATTTTAAATTAGGATTGGTTTTATCATGAGTATAACTTACTCATCCAGAGTACCGAAATTGTTACAAATAATTTGTATATATTATAATGAATTAATAGATAATCAAGCAAATATTTAAATTGTTTTTTTATGTTATCAATTTGAGAACTTTAATTATTAATGTATACATAATATTATAAAGTTAATAGTTAAAATACATAATAGTATGTATTATAATATTAAATATTATTGTGTTGAAATATTTTATGAAATAAAAAACTATTGATAGATATCACGGGTAATTGCATACTATAATTATTATAAGTGGCGAATAGTATATAATTTGTTCGTTATAAAATTTAAATTATATATTTTCTAATTTTTCGACAGTCATAGTTATGCGGTCAAGTTTTTATGACGTTTGAAGAAATCATTAATATGGTTACGTCATAGTTTGTGCACTATATTTTATAAATAAAATTCTTAACAAACAAACAAACATGTAAATGTATCGTATAAGTATATAATCAACCTATTAGAACAAAAACACTCAAAGTAAGTCAAAGAATGGGTATGTAAAATAATGTTACGATTTTATAGGTAATGCGAAGGTAACCGAAAATTGTGTGATCGTGTTACATTGATATTAAATTTCATGAAACTCATATTATGTCAATCTATTTAGATTAATTTAATTATCTATACAATATAGTATAAATTGGAGGCAATAGGTATTAAATCCCTCCCTGCATAAAATATACTGCAGTGGCGCCGAAGTTCATTCCAAGTTTTATGCAAAATTATCAACCACTATAGCTTTTTTTACAGATGCGTGCTTCACTAAGCTCCACACTCTCCTAATATCTTTACATATTTATTAATTATATCAATAACATTGGTTGGAAAATCTAAAAATGTAAGCCTTAAGTATTGTAGTGTTTTTTATACATTATTGCGTATATATTAATCCATTTATATCTATAAGTAATTTAATGTGCCTTAATGAATCTAACAAAAAATTTCTCATGGCCATGAAAATAACACAGTAAATAATCTAACAATATTATAAAATAAATATAAATAAACTATTATTATTATTTTCTAATAAAATTATAATTTTAATTAAAATCTAATTAATATATTTTAAGTTAAACTAGGACACTTTTCTCAGACCATTTTTTTAGTCAGACATATTTTTTACAAATGTATTAGAGTATGAAATTATTAAAAAATTGTATTATTAGTGCGTATTAAAATAAAATAAATTTTTAAATATTTAAAAATAATATACTCGTACATTTATTAATGTTATTGATTAACCCTCTGGTACAATACAATCTGGTAATAAGTATTATAAATTATAATAATGATATTTATTATTATACAATATTTTATAGATTATAGATTTTACGTTAATATATCGTTATACATATATTTGGAAAATAGTATAATACAATGGTCATATTATCACGGTTAATGTTTTCAACCATATTAACTAAATATTAATAGGTTATATTCTATAGACATGTCTATGTGACTATGTAAATCTATGACATTAGTGCCTATAGGCAATAGACAACGGTAGCGATTTAATAAATAATAACTATTATGAATTATGATTTATGAATATTGAATGAATAGTGAATAAGATGTGTAATAATGTAATATAAAATACTATTATATCATGTTTTTGATCCAATAGCAGGTTAACTCCTATCCCTTCCCCCCACTTGGCATTCCACTGATTGTTGCCATTTAACTTAAATCCTAGAATTGAAAATAATCCATTAATACTAGCATATACCACCCATTACCCTCCCAAAACGAGTGTACCTTATAGCATACGTTTATGGCATTCAACTATACAAATTACAAGTGATTTATAATGTGGAAACCGCTTATAATATTCAAAGCTAAAGAATATCATTTTTTTTAGCCATTCGTTATCTGAGTTTAATAAAATGACCATAGATATACAAATGTATAATACATCGGGTTAGCCATTTAATGTAAGCCACGCATTATTTCAAAAACTATTAACGTTTAAAAAAAAACTTTTATCTGCATGATTTTAATTCTTTAAAAAAAACTATATTTTTATTATTTTTTAACGTAATAATTTGTTATTTTTCTCTATTTTTAAAATCAAATTTTGAATGAGTAGTTTATACGTTTATGTCTTTAAAATACAACACTAATATAGGTACCTACTTAAAAAGTTTCAAGTACCCACTAATAATATTTTTCAAATTACGACAAAATAACTTAAATCGTTGATCTTTGTGTAAATATCTAATTTCGTCCAAATTTTAACTTAAAATGTCTATTAAAAAAACTGTGTTTATAAATTTTCGTGATTATGAAGAATATTGACAAAACTTAAACTTTAAATATTAATAAAAAAAATAACTTACCTAGCTTATCTCTATTATTTTTAAATGGTTACCTATTATATTATAAACTTATGAGAAACCTTGTATTAAAATGTCAAGCTTTTATCGCCTGCAAAACCACGCATCCCATTTTCAAAGTACCTATATATTATAATTTATAAACAATATATTACAAAAACCACTACCTACCTACACTTTAAAAAAGGTGCTCTGCTGTACAGTTGGTTACAAGTGCAAGGTCACTGTATAATGGATGGTATTAAATTTGAATTCAATGATATAATATCATTGTATAAGAAAAACGATTCTGAGCGGAGACGGTATGTCCAGTCTAGGTATAAGACATATTATATACTTATCTATCGTATTAAAAAAAAATTACCTAAAATAGGTACCTATAATAAATTCCAAATTAATCATATCACAATATCCATTAAGTATCCACTCAAAATCTAAAATCAACTAATGGTATTACACTTTTTAAATTGTTAACTATTTTGTATATTTATTTTTAATTTATTGTCTAATGAACTTTACCTAACAACTATGAATTAAGTAAGTTGTCAAATTTTTCCTCAAAATCTATTTTTCTGAACATTTTAAATGTCCCCCAATTTTTCTCCGTTTTGTTGAAATCACATATCTTTGTAAGATGTTTTATGGAAAAATGTTTTTTTCCTTGAAATCTTTTAACCCTATTGGGTACTTTAGATATTTATTTATGTAAAAAAATCAAATACTTAAGTGGATTTTTTTAAACAAAATGTTATTAATACTTATTAACAATTTAAAACTAATAATGAATTCCAAATTAATCATATCATCCATTAGATACTTATACCACGTTATACACCAACAACAAACCCTGATACTATCATAGATATATAGTAGTATACTTTAGAAGTTTCAAGTACCCAGGAATAATATTATACAATCACAACAAAATAACTAAAATAGTTATTCTAGGTTTTTTATTATGTAATTTCGTCCAAATTTAAACTTAAAATAACTATAAAAATAAAATTTGATCATGTATTTTTTAGATTTTTTGGTAACAGAATTAACTACTTACGTGGAATCTTGTTTTAAATTTTTAATCCTTAGATATAAAAGTTGAACATTTTATAAATTTTTAACTACAAAATAATTATTTAATTTTAAATTTGATAAATTTTGTCAAAATTCGATCTTTAAATGCTTATAAAAAAAAATTGTAACTATGTATTTTTAATATTTTTCAACTGATATTGTAACAATATATCAGGAACCTTGTATTAAATTTTTACACTTATTGGCCCAACAGATAAAACTTTATTTATATTTATAGAAATTTGTGAAAAATCGATTTTGCTTAAAAATTCCCGTTTTTCCTTAATTTTTCTTTTGTTTTTCTTGACGGTTTTGAAAATTACTGGGAATTTTAAATTTTGACCTCCCCAATGCACCAACGATATTCACTTTCCAATAGAACAAGATATTGAAGTTGAAAATCGAAGCATTATTTCGACTACTTATCGTGTACACAGACACAAAAAAAAAATTTTTAAAAAAATTTAAAAAAAAAACACACACATCATTGTAAAATCAATACATTCATCGTTCCACTCAGAATCTAAAATGTACTTTTTATTAATATATAGGTATAAATATAAATTTGATTTTGATATTAATTGAATTGTTTCAATTATTCGTTTATCAAATTATACTTATGGCCATAGTCAATTTATGTGACACTTAATTAATGTACTATATTACTATGCATATCGACATAAGTATATGCACTTGTGTATTATGAAATTCTGATTTCTGTGTGCTTTTGCGATTAATACGGTTCAGATCCTCGAATTGCGACAAAAATGGTTCAGAAAAAAAGAATCACGTGTGAACTCATATACAATACCTTTATTTCAACATAGTACCTAAATATTAATTTTATATTATGTATAAACTATAATATTGCTATAATGAACAGATTAAAGCATTATTTTCATAATGTTGTTATGGTGAAGAAGAATTCCGCGTTCAATACGTAGTATCATAAAATCTAGTCAGGGTCGGCCTTAGAATTTTTGCACCCTATAGGCAAATATAATTTATGCTAGCCTGGCTGACCTTATTCAAAAGTTAATTTTTGAGGAGGAAGGAGGTTCATTCGAAATTGTTCACCCTTAAATTAAACTGTTGCCACCCCTGGCAGCTGCATATTTTGTTACCGAATTGTGCCCGGCCCTGAATTTAGTTAGTGGAGGGCTATAGGTATGGAAATGTACATATACTATATATATACTAATATGTCATGTTACTCTACTATTTTTACCATCTTAAATATTTAATGTACAAAAGATTATATAAAAAAAATTATTTTTACTAGTTTCTTATGCTTTTAGATTCTGAGCAGAGCTGAGGTTCCGAATGTATTGATAATTGATTCTACAATGATGTGTGTTTTTTTTTTAAATTTTCGTGACTGTCATCACGGTTTAGAGCAAAAAACTACTTCGATTTTCTTCAACAGTATCTTCTAGGAAGGAAAGGGAAAGGGAAAGTGAATCTAGTTGGTGCATTGGGGAGGTTTAAATTTTAAATTCCCACTAAAAGCGCCGGTAAAACAACATACAAATTAAGGAAAAACTGGAATTTTTACTCAAAATCATTTTCGACAAAATCGATTTTGGTTATTGGTGTAACTCTAAAGTAAATAACAGTAGGTACATGAAACACTAGATACCGTAGATACACTTTTTTTTTTATTAAAATTTTCTATACACAATAAAGTTTTCAAAATATCAAATAAAATAATTTTGATTGGTTTTGAGCTTTTTACGGGCATTTTCAATTTTCAATATTTTTAGTTTTTTTCTATGAATGTCAATAAAATTTTATTTATAGGGTAAAAAAGCTTGAACATTGAATACGAGGCTATCAATATATATTGTTACAATGACTTTTAAAAAATATTAAAAATCCAGTCACAATTTTTTTTATAAGCATTTAAGTTCGATTTTTGACAACATTTATCAAATTTAAGATTTAAAAATGATTCTGTAGTTAAAAATTTATAAAATGTTCCAATTTTATAGCTAAGGATTGAAAACTTACAACAAGGTTCCACGTAAGTTGGTTATTCTGTAACCAAAAATTGTTTAAAATATATATCAAGATTTTTTTTTTTATAATTAAATATTAATATAATATCAAATATCCACACTGGCAAACTGTCACTGCTCAAAATCGTTTTTCGTTTTTTTTTTTTTTTTTCCGTCAGATGACCCAGTAATTGGCAGCTACCGACGAAAAGTAATTGGTTTTGTAGTTTTAGAAAAATATACTCAATACAATTACAAATACCTAGTGAATATTTCATAATATAAGTAATGATGAAAAAATTTCTGAGGGGAGACACTACTCGTATTTTTATTATTTGGTGTTTGGCAGATTCTTATTTTTAAGAATGCCTTTTTTGCTTTTTTTCAATGTTTTTCAAGTGTTAATAATGAAGTTATTGAGTTCTTTTATTGCAGCTAATTTTGAAGATTATAAAAGCTTCAAGTCCCGAAACCTGGTTATTGTTTATCAGGTATACCTAAAAGACGAACACCGACCACCGTGTGTAAGCGACAACTGTTGTGCTTGTTCAGTATAAATTACACACGAAATTATTCGTTACCTACTACAATAATATTCAAAATTCAAAACAAACCACCATATTATTACGTTTAGTATTATAAATTTAGTTTTATCTGTATACCTACCTACTTATTATATAGGTTAAGTAGGTAAAAAATATATTAATTGTTTATATATGGTAGTGTTAAATTTTAATAGGTAGTTATTTTTTGCTTTAGTAACTAAATAATACAAATATTTATTTTATGCATAAATTTTAGATAAATAATCATTTGTGACTAATTCTGATTATTGTTATTACATATTAATTATTTATTTGTTTAGGTAAATTCTATTCAGGATACAATTTTTGAAAATGTAATACAAGACTCCTCATATATTGTAACTATAGCAGTTAAAAAATATTAAAATTACATAGGCTCATTTTTTTTATTAACATTTAAAGTTCGATTTTTGACAACATTTATCAAATTTTAAATTTTAATTATTTTGTAGGTAGTTAAAAATGTATAAAATGTTCAACTTTTCTAGCTATGGATTGAACATTTAAAACAAGGATCTACGTAAATATTTTATGCATTAATTACTTAATACTTTATTCATAATAATAATATTTCATCAAATATACTTAGTAATATCATAGGCTGACTGACCGTCATCATTATGAATCGTTTTTCTTATACAATGATATTATATCATTGAATTCAAATTAAATACAATCCATTACAGTGACCCACTTTAAACCTACTATACAGCAGAGTGACACCCACCTTTTTTTAGTTTATTTTTCTAGAAAAGTAGATAAAAATTGTTCGTTGGGACGAAGTGGTTGAATATTTAATACCTACAAGGTTTCTCATATATCAGTTGAGAAATATTAAAGATCTATAGGTACGATTTTTTATTATATTTTATAGTTAAAATGTTAACAAAATTCATCAAAATCTATCGAAAATGTGCAAATTCTTTATACCTAGGCAAGGATTGAAAATTAAAAACATGGTATTATATAGGCTGCAGGCATTAATTCTTCTTCTTCGCTCTGAATCGTTTTTTGTATACAACGATTTTATAACATTAAATTTAAATTTAATACACCCATTACAGTTACTAGACACCTACTATACAGCAGTGCGTCACCCAGTTGCTTACTTTTATTTGTAAATTATAATGTTTTAATAATGATTTGGTTCTCTTTTAATATAATAAAAATATTATTTTTTTTTTAATAATGCTGCAGTTAAATTAATAGTTTAATAGTTATATTTAACAATGGATCCAATAAAATGTACCTACCTATTAATATATAGTGTTTATCTACTCTTATATCTGGCTACAGTTCTAAGTGAGTAGTTTTAATAAAATATAATTTATTTTAATTAATATTTTTACTGTTTACATTTACATTTAATTTTTTAAATAGTTGCTACGTGTAACTTAATTGATTTCAAAATATACTTACCAACATTTTGATAAAATTTAAATATTTAATGATATGGAATGAAGTGTATTATATATTTTTACCTCTGGTTGTACCTTTTATTTCACACATAATAAATAACATAATTAAACTAAAAATATATTTAGTATACCTATCATTCGTGGTTATTTTATACAATATACCTAAACGGAAATATACTAAATATTAAATTATTATTAAAATGCATAACAATCATATTACAAGTAACATAATATTAGAAAATTGTCAGTGTTATTTAATATTCAATTTTATACCTATTATAATTTAATTTAATTATACAGCAGGTAATACATGTTTACAACCAGAACTTAATTTAGTATGAGATAGTGAGCATGGTAATGGCAAATGTGGTGTATGCGGTCGTATAACATTCTGAAAGTATGGGTCAATAGCAGTTGATGTCGTACTAGACAATTGTAGTGGTCCTTTATGTTTCGAGCGGCATGGGTTAATATCCGATGTCGGTGATAAAGGATACGAGGTAGGTGTTAGAATTGGTATAGGAGTTGAATTTTGTACTTGCTCCGAAAATGGTTTTACATTTGGCAACGATGTAATAATGGGACTTGGGATTAGACCGGGAAAAGATGGATTTGAACCGGGGGTTAGACTAGACAATTTGCTTAAAATATCTGGCAATGAGCTGAAGGGTGGTATACAAGGAACAGATGATACTGGAGTACTATTTAATGTAGAAATGGAATGTGAGTTTGTTGATGGTAAACATGGAAATAGAGAAGTTTTTGAAGCATTGGAAGAGGTCAAATGGTTGATTAAAATATTGGTGAGATACTGATACTGATCATTACTAATGGATGTATTTTGATTGGTGTCGGAACCGGTAGGAGCTGAATCAAATGTATTATTTGACGATATATTGAATATATTGGGATTTAACTCAGATAGTGGTCTACTAGTAGAAGACGTTGTTATTGGATTCGGAATGAGAGGAACATATGTAGTGGTATTTAATTTTGTCTGAAGAAGTGAATATAATGACGACAATGGAGGTAATGAAGAGGTTTGATTAGATAACAAATTTTTAATCAAAAGTTTCATAAATTCTGGATTATAACCAAAAGATATGCCTGAAACAGGTGGAGATGTCATAGACTTAAGTATATGTTGAAGACGATAAATCGAACCATTTGACTGATTATGTAATGTACTCGATGGACAAGAACTTAACGACTTAGACGATGTTTCACAAGCAGGTGATATGATATGGGACTTTATATCTGGATCCGATATTGATGTTGCGTTAATTGTAGGTTTGACATGTGTTTTAGTTGGTATTAGAGACGACCCATTTTTTGCTTGAGAGGCCACTAATAGTTTATGTAAAAGATTAATAAAGGCTGGATTAAAACTAGGAATTGAATTTGGAGTAGACGTTGAAGTTACTGGTATTGAAACTGGCACATTACTTGGTGCTGGAAATTCTTCCGGTACTATTTCTGGTTCGTGTTCTAGAACTGGTGCTGGAGTTTTCTCAGAAATTGGTACTGGAACTGGACGGTTAGATGTCGAGGGTGAGCCAAGCAGAACACCTGGTAATACACTCAACGAGGGCACGGCCGGGTGAGATAATATAGCACATGGTTTTTTACCTGGGACTACGTTTTTATTTAACGTTGGCGTAAATAAAGGAAACGGTAGTGACAAAGGCGTTGGTTTAGAAGTAGATAAATATGGAAGCGATGCAACTAAAGATGACACCTTGGTCAAAATATTTGTGGAGTCAGAATTAGTACTGGAAGACGGTGTTGATTCTGAATATGGCAACTTTGGAATCTGAACGGGGTTCAAAATTGACGAGGCTGATCCACATGATGGACTTGCAGGTAAAATACTTGAAGAAGAACTTGAGGCGGAGACAGGGGCACATGGTAATGATGTTGTATGTGGCTTTGAAACGGAAGCAGTCGATTGTGAGGCATTTGGTGTAGATGGAGAGGGCAGGTTCGATTTATCAGAAGTTTGTGTTTTACCTGAATGTAAAGTAGAAAATGCTGGAGACGACAAAAGTTGAATTATAGAATTTAAGATGTCCGTGTTATCAGTAGGTGCAGACAGCGTGGTTGGTATAAATGGTATTGATCCCAATGAAGACGTGTCCGGAGCAAGGGTTGGTGTAGAGGATGTGGCTGAACCTTTTGCATGGACACCCGATGAACTAGAACTCGGGCTAAACGAAGTATCAGAAGGGGAAGATATTGTATTCGAAACAGGTGTGAGGTGTGAGTTCGAAGTAGAATCTGATGTCGAAGGCAAACATGGATGAGATAATCCATGTTTATGACTTCGCAATGAACATGAAAAAGCACCGTCCTAAAAAACATAAAATAAAATGTTTCATTAAATAATATAATATTATTCTTTATTTAAAAAAAAAAATAGATAGTATTCATTACCTTAGCAATCAACACCATAACTACTATGACAAAAATCTTTAAGTCAGCCATAATATTATTTGAGCTGTTTGCAGTAATTCTGTAGCACACAAACTGTTACCAGAAATGGCTTTTCTTAGGGTTTATATAGGTACTAGTAAATTTTGATAAAAATATATAATATTATCAAAGCACGTTGTTACAAAATTAAAATGATTACTACTAGACATATATATTTTTATCAAGGTGTCAAATATAATTGTTGAATAACTAAAAATGTACATATTTATGTAATACTATAATAACGGTTGAGATTAAACCAAGGATACAACAGATAATCTTATATTAATGAATAATGATTAAGGTTGTTTTTCTTTACATTAAATAAAATATAGGTAAGAATATTACAAAAAAAAAAACTGGAGACCTCTGCTATATTGTAAACGTCGAGTATAGCTGGTTATTGAATAGATCGCTGTTATAGATGTATTCAATTTTAATTCAATGATAAATTATTGCCAACAAAAAACTATTGAACGGAGACAGACCTGTCTGTCTATCGACAGCCAATATTTTTAAGGATATTTCATTATGTATTTATATTGATATTTATAGTAATCTATATTTTGATTAGTATTACGCTATAGCTTGTACTAATATTTGACAAAAACAAAACTCATAGGTAATTTTGTAATAACAGCTACAATATTATTTCATATAATATAGGTGCTAATACTTATTGTGTTATTAACTTAATACGACGTACAGTAGAACGGTGTGAATAGGTTAGTGGTATAAAATATATCTTAACATTAACCTTAGTATTTTGAAAAATTCCTTGCTTTTGGTAAATAATAATAGGTATACGTAACGACGAAAGTTTCAAGTACTTAAATGTATGAATAATGTTTTTTTGAACTATGATAAAATAACTACTTACCTATAAAAAGTTATTTTTTTGATTTAATATCCAATTTCATCAAAAACCCTACTTAAAATATCTAGGTAGAAAAGAAAATTGTGTATATATTGTGCATATATATTTATTTTTTTGTAAGAGTAACTCATAAGTTACTTATGTTTTATTTTTAAGTTGTTACAATAATTAAAAATTGTATGCACTTTTAACTATAAAATAATTTGCAAATTTTTGTGATTTTGACGAATTTTGTTAAAATGTAAACCTTAAAAGCTAATAAAAAAAATGTGGCAATAAATTATATTATTTGATATTTTTTGGATAGCTATAAATGCAACTCATCACATTCCTTGCATTAGATGTTTTAAACTATTTAAACTATTTATCCAAGCATAAACATTTCTATCAACATTTATAGAAAAAAACTAATACAAAATGAATTGAATATAAATAGTATAAAAAAGCCAAAATGTTTTATATCATGTCTAGAAAATGCTACTGTAATGGTTCATCACTTAGCACTACTATAAATAATTCAAATACGGTTATTTATTTTTGAATTACAACTGTACAACTGCAGACAAATAATATTAATTAATTAAAAAACAAGTGTTGCGTTAATTTTTCCGAATTTTTAAAAAATCATAGGTACTCAAATATAAGATTAAAGCTTTTTTTACTGCTCATAAAGCTGACGTGAGACACAAACATCGTACACACACACATACAATCATAATACCTGGCACCGGCTTTATATTAAACCATTGATTACAAAATATACTATAGTCTATAATAGATAATCAATCTATTAACCTAATAAAAATAACCATTTTTCTTAACCGTAGTAAATGTATATTATTCAATAAGGTGTTAAATTTAAACGAACAGCTTTAAATAATATTTTCAGATTTATTCGAAAAAAACATTATGAAACAAGTTATTGAATATTTAAAATAATTTGTGTTTAATATATAGTACATTATCATACATTAATAATATTTAGTTAGTATGACAAAATATAATTTACTTATAATAATTTTTAAATTTAAACAAGTAATGTAATTATTAGAATGTTTTATAATCACTGCAACTTAACATTTAACAATTAAATAATTCAATGATTATTACAACAACTATACACTATACAGTATACTTAAATACTATAGAATGTATGTACCTACTATACCTACCTATAGAGCTGTAAAATTTAAAATGTTCAAATGAAAATTTTTATTTTTCATTAAAATTTTCAGCGACATTGAACATTTTCATCGACTGAAATTATTCAAGTTCTTTCCAATTTTTAATAAAATAATAAAATTTGTAATCGTACGTGTTTAGTAATAATAACGATAGTGATATAAAGTCCACTAATTCTTTATTTTTCCACTCATTGAAGAAACATCATCAATAAAATATGTTGATGAAATAAAATGTATTTTTAGTACACCAACTATAGGCAGCAGTGGCTTATATATAGTTTTTTGGGGTGGGCTATAGTAGATAGAAAATAGCAAGAAATCAATTACTTAGAGGCTACTGTCTACTATATATTTAACAGTTTCTATAAATATATTCGTATTTGTTATTTTTCAACAGGCTATGAAATATTATAAATTATAATAGTACCTAATAAAATATATTGTTGTTCTATTTAAATATACTATAATTTTGGGGAGGCCCACCCCTTATATACGCCACTGATAGGTAGATGAGAACTATATACATTTTCAGATGATTTAAGCAAATACCAAAATTTATTTTAATATATCCAATAAACAATATTCATGTACCTAATAAAGATTCAGTTAATTCTAAAATTAATAAAGTTTATTAAACAGTTAACATTTTTATTTTATAAGTAAGTAGGTAAGTGTTTTGTGAATAAATGATTAAATGAATAATTAACAAATGGACTATAATTTAAAAAAATAAATAAATACAAATTCCATAACAAAAAAAATAATTTTCAAAATGTTCAACCGAAAAAATTTTCATGAAAATGTGCAACTCTACCTACAAAAAAACTCTAACCTAAACCAAAATCGACTTTTATGATGTTTATTTTAGTAAAGATTGAGTTACTGTGCAATATTGGCATTAATTATTACGATATAATCTAGTTCAGTAGACTAGATGCTGAAATAAAGTGCATAATGTTATACAGAGAATAATATTGGCATAAGCAATAAAATTCACTGTAAATTACTATTTATGGTTTGAAATAATCGAACGATCAAGATATTAACTCTAATCTAGTAATTTGCTATAAGTTAATTTTATTGAAAAAGTAATTATGCCATATTTATTATAGATTAATACTACTATTGTGACTCATGAACCGCAGGAAATTATTTCAACAGCTTTGTGTGTGATTAGAAAATAATTGTATTAGCAAGTATGGTTTAAATTTGAATAGCAATATTGATCAAATTCTGCAGCGCTCTAAAAAAAACATCAAAATGTTCAGAACTTACCAATATAAATAAAAAAATACCATAACCTAATATACCCAATTATAAATGATAATACATATATAGGTACCTGCAGCTATCATAGTAATGGTGATAGAATTTATTTATTGAATTAAAAAAATTGGCTCAATATTTACACGTATCAAGATTAATTATAAATAAGTTATGTATTTATTATTTGCATTTTTACGTTTGTCCGTGTATTCAAACATAAACATTATGTTGTGTAAATTATAAAAATTATAAAGGTATATAATATGTCACACATTCATGTAGGTTAGTAAAATCCATTTAGTGAAATCGCTCATATTAAACTAGACATAGGTATAGATTACTGAGTGTATCGACATCGTAAAACTGCTTTAAATATTTTATTAAAATTGTTTGTCCGATTCATTTAATATATCGTCGGCCTAATTCGCAAAGGTCGTATGTCCAAAATTACAAATTGTTCAGGAGAAGAAAAAAACGTTTAATTAATTCACTTTGATAAAATTAGACATTATTCTTTTCCCTTTCATTTAAAAAACATAATTGCAATTATAATAGAACAATTTAAACATTGTAGTGTTCATTAATAATTTTATAATGGACTTAGGACTTTTTCTTCTTAGATTGCCTAATAAATATATCGTGGCCATATTATTAATTGGAGATACGACGATTTCTAATTATCAATTTCATGGAGGATAATATTATGAAATCGGAAATTTGATTGTATCAACAGACGCAGTTTTTTTTTCTTTATTTTATGAGTAAATAATCCCAAAATGACAAAAAATGGAGATACGACTTTTGCGAATTAGGCCGACGATATGAGATTCATTAAATTATAAATTATTTATTTACTTTAATACTACTATTTAATTTGATTATCATTCTTTAATTAAGTTACTATAATACCTATTATGCATGAGTAAAATGAGCGTATAAATTATAGCTTAAAATTAGCTTTGAAACTATTTTGAAAATTTCATTGTGTGTGGAAAAGGTAATTATTGTGAAATATTCCAAGTTTCAATGATTAATAATTTTTTAATTACAACAAAGTATCGAAAATTGTTTTAGGAGAAATCGCTATTTTAAGTTTGAATATCCAATGTCAATATGTCATTCAAATTTGAAATTCAATCACTCGTATAAAATATGATGTGTCTTACACTAAACTTTTTATTAAATTCCCGAAAAACAAACTTATAAATAAATTTGTTTACTTTTCAATTTTTGTATTTTGTGAATTTTAATTACTTAGGTACTAAATTAAATAAGTTAATAATTTAATTTAAATATAGTTTGCACATTTTCGCGATTTTGCCGAATTTTGTCATATTTAACTTCAAAGTTTATTAATGTGGATGTTTTTCAATTCTGGTAATAAACTATAATAATAACTTTTGAAAAACCTTGTTTTAAATTGTTTTACTATGAGATTAGTTGCAACTAATATAACTGTATGCCAGGTTATTAATTTATGCGGAAAACATCGCATTTACTATATTATTATAACAATAGGTATAATATATATATATATTATGATATTATATACCTATATATATTTTATATCATATTATATTATAGTCAATACCTATCAACTACCTAAGCTTAGAACGATATGAACAGGTTAGTGGTATAATTAATATGCAATAGCTCAAAATGAATGTAAGTATTTTTACCTCTGA